ACCAGGTAAAAATATACGATAACTTTATAACTGTATGAAACGAATGGGAGGAGAAAGTTTTCACATATGAAATGCATCTACTTGGTGCGCAAAAGTTTTGAGGAATTATATCTAAGTGCTCAGTGCAATGCTTTTTTCATCCCCAAAAGATCCTTGACAGGACCTTTTCCGGACCAATTGTTGTCTTCAGAAAGCACCCGAAAAGACGTTTCTGGGTCAAACCAACTTGTGTCGTCCTCAGTAAGTACTAAGGTCAATGATAACTGTGCGAGGACGATTGTACCATATGAGGACGACCTCAGGCCATCGAGTGTTGTCTAGGTATGCTATGTCACATGGCCTTTCATCACACTGCAGTGGACGCCACCCGTCGATGACGAAACAACGTACTCCTATCCAGTGGTGCTAGCAGCGCTGGTACGTGCGCCTGGCTTCACCACAGCGGTAGCACAGTCGACGCTGGTCAGGGGCGCGCGCCAGACGTCAATCTTCCTGTAAGTGTAGCGCTGGCCGGCGTCATCGGTAGCGGCGGTGGTGCCTGGCGGGAGAACTGCGGTGGGCAGTGTCCTCACGTGGGCATGGAAGAGCGTTGTGGTGCACTGCAGTGGCGTAGCTCATAGCTTCCGGTTCAGGCTTCAGTGCTTCGGGGATTCCAAGCGACTGGTGAACTTCTTCGTGAACAATGTCGGGAATCGAATGAGCATGAGGTTGCAGCAAAGGCAGCAGCTTGTGCAGCTCCTCCCACAGTCTCGATTGGTCTGGTGCAGGTCATTGGTACTAAAAGTTTCGACGCAGTTGAATGATGCACGGCGGTTTTACTGCGTCTTCCACATCTCAAGCGCATTTTCTACAGTTCTGGCCTCGATAAGTATTTCATTGACCGTCTTGGGTTGGTTCTTCTCTTCAGCCATGACGAGGTTGGCGTGACGAAACAACCGAGGTCATCTCTTTCACGGAGATAGTCACTGTTTAATTAGGAAGCTGCCCCCGTGTCTTGGGCAATGTGGCAGCCCTTTTCTTGCAGAGAAAGCTCGGGAAGGTGCCTAACAACGTCGTCCGAAAGAGATCCCGGGTCCGTAGCATCGATTCCCTGTTCTCGAATCTTGCGGAGTCTTCTGGGCAGAAGTATACGTGACGTAGTTTTTCTTCGGGGTCCCAGCAGTTCAAGTTGGCGACGCGGTTGCGTGTCTGCAGCCACCTCTCCGGGTCTTTACTAGGTGATCCATGGAATCTCAGGTGCTCTTGGGGTGGCTACTTAATGATCGCCGCTGGTGGTGGTGTAGCGGCTGTCATCATCGCTGCAGTCGTCGTCACGGTCGTCGTGCGAGTCTAGTCGGGCAAACACCCGTACTCCAATGGTAAACTTTCTTGCCTGCGACTGAATCAATGGTCGTGGTTGGCGTCGGTGTTTCTCCGCGACGTGCACTTGGCTCACGATTGGAGGGGGGCGTGTGGTACATTAATCAGGAAGCACTTCCACCACATATCACGGAGTCGTGACTTTGACGAAGGGAGCAGACAGTAGGTTGAAGATTAAACTGTTTATTTGGTTAAACTGTTTATTTTCCACATATAGGAAAAACTACACAAGACACTGGTACTGATAGCGGCGAACTGAGCATCGGCCGTCGATGAACTGGCAAGTGGTGAAGCCTGTTAGCATTTATGCACATGCCGTTGAATATTCTAGCGTTATTGCTAGCAGCCACGTAGGTTCCAAAATTATTTGTAATTTTCGCGAAATGGGCGTCATCTTTAACACTATATATATACATCAGTCCCGAAGCTTCTCAAACATCACAGGCGTCTTTTGCACTGAGAATTTTTGACAATGAAATGAGGCGATAACATGACTTGGAATGTGGCAATATACTAATTGTAAGGAAAAGCATCTGTAAATAAAGGTTGCTGATTGTGTCTTTCTGTGCGCATTTAAGTGCAACTGCACATAAATATGGTTATTAGTCACCGTCCTTTCTGTCATCTCGTATCCATCTTGTTACAGCATTATTTTTTTCATTCTAAATCAGTATGTATTCCAACCAGCTCTGTTCAAGACGCTAATACATGTGTTCAGTAGTAACAATCACTCTGGCTATTGGATAAACTTGAACACGCACTGTGGGCTACTTTGAAGTTCTTATGTGTAACTGATGGTGAAGACCAGGCTGTTCGCCAATGTTCAGATAAACCCTTCTGCAGCGCGATCTTATTAGTTGTACGTATGCACGCCTCAACGTTGCTCTGCGACCACACTACCCGAAAATAATGACATGGGAGCCAAAGTGTACTCACACTCATCGTGATTTCCCGTGTGATTTCCTCATCCAGGCAGGACGAGGTAAGCTCCTGCAACCCTCAGTTGTGGACGACCATAGACATTGCAATTAGATCGGGGGCCACCGGCGTGTGGCTCTCAAGACAAAGATGCACTAATTGTGCACTTCATGCTCTTAAAACTTAGAGAAATTCCAATGCTGTCACTCATTTTTTCTTCAATAATATGTAAGATTTACTGTCCTAAAACCATCATATGATTATGAAAGACACCGTAGTTGAGGGCTCCGGAAATTTCGACCACTTGGGGTTCTTCAACGTGCATCCACACCTGGTTAGGGTGCTTTTCTTTGAACAAAACACGACCTATAATCACTAATTTTTTAACAAGGAATTCAAGACAGTGCTAGGTCAAGGTTTCAAACTGAGGAACAAGGCCTTTAGTATTTCACGTGACTTTTCTGAGGCCGTGAGTGAAACATCACAAGCTCTTGCAATTTTGATTGATGATTGATATGCACGATTTAAAGTCTTGAAACCAGCATATGCTTGTGAGAGACACCGTAGGAGAGGGCTCCGGAAAGTTTGACCACCTGTGGTTTTTCAACGTTCACCACACGGGCGTACAGCATTTTCACCTTTATGAAAAATGCAGCCGCCGCAGCCTGGATTTGATCTCATGACCCGCGAGTCAGGAGCCCAATACATGAGCCACTAGACCATCGTGCGGGACCACGTATTGTTCTCTCGTTCAGCACAAGAAGCCGCAATATCAGTTCAGTGAGCCGTAACTTGAGGCGTAATACATAAAATTGGTCTTGTAATAAATGCTAAGCATTTCTTTGTGAACTGCAAGCACTTTTCGCGCCTGCCTGCCTGCCTGCCTGCCCGCCCGCCCGCCCGCCCGCCCGCCCGCCCGCTTACCTGCCTGCCTGCCTGCTTGTCTGTCTGTCTGTGTGTCTGTCTGTCTGTCTGTCTGTCTGTCTGTCTGTCTGTCTGTCTGTCTGTCTGTCTTTCTGTCTGTCCTTTTACGTCTGGATGCTCTTGTGATCACCCCCTTCACTTGTTTTAACCAAAACTAGTATGAGAGAATAGGATGGTTTGCACTCTGTTCTATCTCACTGCTCTATTTTCTTTCTGAAACGTTCCCTGCACACTAAGAAAAGTAGACTTCTTTCAGAATGCAATACCAACCAGCCCAAGTAGCCACTTTTTTTTGCAGAATACGACGTGCTGGTGTCAAAAGAATAGTGTTACCAACCCGCTGCGTACTTAGCCAACACACCGCTGTCGATTTAGACTTAGTATCTACCAAAGAATGACAAAAACTCAGATGTCATTTTAACAGGTGAGTGCTAAGAAAAATCTGACATCAACAGCGTGGACTCAATGAATGCAAAGAATAAATGTCCACGTCTCAGCAGGAATAGAACCCCAACGTTTTTCGTGGCAATAAAGCAGTTTATCACAGGGCCATTGCAGGTATCAGAACTACTTTTCAAATATGCCCTTATGTCTCTGAAACGTCAATTGTGGTTGCAGTGCTGGCTATCTAATTTATAAACATTACACTCATACTTCTATGATACAGCCGGCACATCAGGTAGCTGTCAATTGTAAGTGGGTACCAAGCCCTGAAGTTGACTTATGTAGCAGTGTGCAGGGCTACCACTTTAGCGAGCCCTAGCGTTTTATATCAGTTGATCGCTTCTGGTGTTGCGAATACTCATGTTCCTGTTTGCATCGTTACAAAAGTGTAAACAGCTGACTATATAAACATCTACAACTGTTCAACACAATGCTTGTGCGTCCAGCAGTTGTATCCACATGATTCACATTACGTCGATTCACAAGGTGCATAAGATCTGCCGAACTTTTCATGCGAGAAAGTTTCATTTGTATCGGAGACTTTTTTAGAATGTGTATTTCTAATAGGGCCTGAGAAGTCGTCCTTGCCCGCTCCTCAATAAACAAAGAACAATCTACTAACCCGCGGTGTACTTATGGATTTACGCACATGGCATCAAATCAGGTCGTCAGGGCCCAGTGGCCGTGAAATAAAAAAATGGCTTTGAACGCTTTGCAAATTTTATTAAGGTTGCTTTTGACAACGACGATGAAAATTCACAGCACTGATAAGAACCGTCATCAGGGCCTAGCAGGTGGTTGTACGGAAGAAAATATATCAGGCTTCTTTATTCCTCCTTTAACTTGAGTGCAGAAAATCTAAACGAACACCGTATTAGTAAGTGTGGACGTCCTCAAAATTACATTTTTTAGTGGTGAGTCACTGAACCGTTTTTTTAATTCATTTCTTTTTTTGACAGTAAATAATTGTCGTAGTACAGAAGACTAATGGCGACTTTATGAGTGACTTGCCTAGGCCTCTAGCACCGCACTGCACGTTGGTCACACAATGCAACTGCATTGAAAATATAGGTACAAGATTGATTTAGACTCACTCCGAAAACACCGTTCACCCGTCTCAGCGTTTCTCCCCGGTGTGACATCAGTCAAGTTTCTCCAAACTCAACAAAAATGCCACAACGGTAGTGTCCACGACAGTGTGAATTTTCGCAGAAATGCTCCCCCAAAATTAGCAGTTTTGTTTCCATTTTCCATGTGCTAGAGGAAAATTGTGGGTGGTGTTGTCAATTAGTGACACTACAGCTGAAAGGGCTCAGATGCACTCGTCACCAATAGCTAAAACAGGTGCCACCCACCTATGAGGGAAGCAGCCTCGGTGGCGTCAGCAACACGCCAGGGTGCTCGATGGCCGCTGCGGATGGCGAAGAAAGCTGGAAACTCCTGGCTCTCCCCGAAAGTTGCCACGCACACGCCTTCGGTCTCCTGCTCGAAGGAAATTTCTGTGGTCATTTGCTGTGTCGATACCTTTTTGCAGCAATATAAATACTATCACCTCTAGGCACACTCACCAACGAAAATAAAGCCATACGATCAAAAATGACACTTGAACTCGCTTTATGCAAGGCCAGCTGAAAATTCAAGATCTGCACATCATGCTTGTTCTTCAAACCGCCAATCACTTTGCTAATGTAAACTCAAGCCTTGTAGGGCGCATCAGGATGGACAGACGAGAATTCATTGAGCCTTCCAATCTTGAGCGGTAAACCGTCAAAATCCAACAGGTGCACGTATGAACCTTGAGAATACCACTAACAAATTGAAAAGAGTGACAGATAACACTGTGTTCGGTAGTAAGAAATATATAGTTTTTTTAAGTAACTATAGAGACTCTGGCACAGTGATCGTTAAACGACAATGGGAATGATGGCTGGTACACGGACTTACCTAGTCTTCGTGGTTGCAGGCTTTGAACGCTCTTGTGGCTTTGTTTTTTTGCTGTGTTCTAGTTTTGTTTCGAGTGAAAGAGCAGACGGTTGTGAACTGCATGAACTGATTTGAAATGGTGAGTCTAAAAGGTAAAGGTAGTGAAGTGCGACTGCTGTACATTTGCTGACTTTTGTTTCGCGACAAAGCATCTTGAAGTCACGCGAAGTGAAATGGAGCCAGAAAAACAAAGATTGAACAAATCCATGTAATACCCATCATCCCCATTCTCGCTGAAGCACCATGCGTTCCACCTCCCATAGACATTAACGCTAGAGTTTTTAGTGTATATATAGGAATCTATGATGGAGACAGTCCACACAGCCACCGAGCCGAGTGCGAGACTCGAAGCTGGGAAGAGGCGAAACTGTAGGGCAGAGTATTTTAGTTCAACACAAAACCTGGAGATGTCGAATGATGGAATTGAATTTTAGTTAAAGCACACGCGGCAAATGTGTATTTTTCAACTACCCACGGGGTAATCTCACGCTGGCAGTATATTGTTGGTCAAAACCCAATGCTACATTTGCAATGTGGTTTGTTAATTGTTGGGTAGCACGTTCTCTCTCACGACGGAGGTTGTGTTTTTATAGCCAATGTCCATTGCGTAGTTAACGCTCAGGCGGTACCAAAAGAGGCAGAACGCTTTCCTGGCAATCGAAGGTGGTCTGTTTTTGCGTTCAGACAAATCGACCGCCACGAAACCAACAGATGACGGAAGATGCACGCCGACCCACTGAGACCCTAAGGTGCTTCGCCCTTGAAAACCGTGCTCCCGGGTCAATGCTAAATGAGCGACCATGTTTCTGTGCCTCAGCTCCCCAATGGCAACATTTTTCATTGTGTCACACGACGAGCAAACGCCGTCGTCTTTGATAAGCGAAAAAACTGATGGTGCGCACAAAAGGTTGTTTCGCTTGAGCCATGGTTGATAGCGCTGCCACATGACAAGAGCACCAATATGAGTTTTCATGGGCGAACCTCCTGAAACGCAAGGCTTGTCTGTTGGCGGTGTTGGCGTTGTGCGCACAGCACATGCAAGGTAGCCGCCAGAAAGTTTCATACAATATTACCTAGAAGAGAATCTGGCGCTAGTGTCTACGCGGGCTTCTTCAGCGGCACCTGTACCCCTTTGAAAATTATGGGAAGTGCAGACTTCGAATTCACTTCAGATGGATCGCGTTCTTGAGATTCGCAATGCTTGTTTACGGAGTAGAAAACAAAGTGATATAAAATTATATCCAATTGAACCTTCTTTATTTTTTGTATGTAAATTTCACTGGAAAGTGTTTCTGTAATCATGAATTAGAAGTGAAATCTAGAGAAATTCAACCTCCATTCTGCAGGGTGTCTAAAAATAAAAGTCGAGCGCAAATAAAAACGGGACACAGGAAACAAGCAGACAAGACAGAACGCTCACTACCAAGTGATTTATTTAAGAAAGAATTGTGGGGAGAAATGCGGAACATAAGTCACAAACGTATTGAAAGCAAGCAACACGAGACATATTGTAACAACTAGACTTTTCACTTACGCCTACAGCTGTGAGATCAAGCTCACAGTTTCAGGGTATTTTGTGAAAGTGGCTTTATTTCGAAAACATTGGCGACGCCTTGTTTGCCTGTCACTTTCAGGGCGAAATTTGTGAGTATTGGGCGGAAGAACTGTGTAAGCAGCTGTTTGAGCAAATTTTCTTCAGTTGCGGTGCAGTCCATCAGTGGTAACTCTGGAGAGTCAACATTAACGGAGGGCAATTCATTAAAATTAAGAGAAAGCGAAGGAGAGTCCAGTTGGGTCTCAAATGCTCTACGTTTCGGTGGTGGTGCATTCAATGGCACAGCTGCCTTGCGTTTTCGCACAGATGCGTCGCTTCTCTCTCTCATTTTCGGAGGCTGCAGGTACGCAGGATACTCTTCGAAAATGCTCGGAACATGGTCTTTCTTAGGTTGCGAATTTCGCAGCCCTCCGTGAAGTCGGAGGGCTGCGTCAAACAAATACGGTTTATTAAAAGAAGTGAAGTAACACGTGCTCGCTCCAGGCAACAGTCTTCTTTCTTCTTCTTCCGGCGTTTGATGATATTTTATAGGCTCCCGCCCGCCCAAGTTGAAATGTTATAAGCTCTCGCGGGCTATTCGAAACAACCTTCTATAGGGTATATGTGGTTCACCGATCTTCTTAGAAGCTCTTTCTTGCCTGTGCGAAGGAGACAAGCTCTTGTTATTCCGTCTCGCCCAGGTTAGAGTTTTTCAATCCGGCACATTTTTCGAAATGTTCTTGGAGCCTTGTCCTCAACCAACACAATGTCACCCTGTGAGAGTGGTTTTGCTTGCCACTTTTTGGCTTTGACCATATCTCTTATTTCCTTGATGTATTCTTGAAGCCCTCTTTTCCACTAAGAGCGCACGAGTTTGCATCTGCTTCACCATGCGTATTCAATGTCACCGTTGTACAGCCTTGTTTGTACGTCTTGAAGCTGTCGCAATCCACCTATGATGTCTGCTGGTGTTAGTGGCGTTTGCTCGTCAGTTTCTTCATATACGTAAGTCAATGGTCGATTGTTGAGTGTTCCTTCAACTTCTGCTACAATAGTGCGTAGCTCCTCTATCAAAGCTGTGCTTTTCGGTATTATTTTTCGCATCAACGTCTTCAAGCTTCTTATGACGCGCTCGTAAAATCCTCCCCACCATGGTGCGCACTCGGCTATCGTTTTCCACTGAATTTGTTGGCCACTGCAGCAATTCTTTAAGACCTCATTTTTAATTGTTTCAAGCACTCTGTTGATTTCCTTTCTGGCTTTTATAAATGTTTTGGCGTTACCCGAGTAGATTACTGCTGGCATTCCCCGTCGAGCTGTAAATCGTCGGAATGCTCGTAGAAAATTTGACGATGACAAATCGTTTGTAACTTTCAAGTGTACTCCTCTCGTTACCACGTAGGTGAATATCAGTACACATTGCTTCACAATCTGGTACTTGTCCTTTGCGTAAAGAGGTCCTGTGAAGTCGACTCCCGTGACTTTGAATGGCTCTGCTTCAGTGACTCTGTCTGCCAGAAGTGGAGGTATGTCTTGAGTCGCCGGTCTGGAGTTATGCCTCTTGCAGACGACACATCTGTTCAGAACTCTTTTTACTGCTTGTCTACCCTGCAATATCCAGAACTTAGTTCGAAGTTGCGCTAGCGTAACTTGAACTCCTCCGTGTAATACCATTTTATGTACGTGACGTATTAGTTCCGTGAAATGCTCATTCTTTGGAATTACTATTACGTGCTTGTTGAATTCTTAGCTGCACTGAAGTCGTCCCTTCTGTCTGATGATTCCATCGTCATCAAGGTAGACTTCATGTCTATTAATTTCAAATGATTGAGTGTTTGAATAGGCCTCACCTTTTGTTTGTCTCAGGGATATTTGGGTCTGTCTTATCCAGTATTTCTCTGCATTTGTTACCTCTTTTCCTGTCAATGGCCCTTCGTGATTTTCCTTTCTTGTGTTGTCTATGAATCTGAACACCCATGCTATCACTCTTATAAGCCGTCCGTATGATGAATACCTTTCAATTTCCAAGATTGCCTCAATTTCAACTCTTCCCATGCATTGGTGACATTGAGTTTTATGCTGGTCTTCCACGTCTGTATTTGTGCCAATTATGCTTACTAAGTTTTTTTCCAGTGATGTTATTCATTCGGGACCGTTCCACTATAACTTTGACGTTATCAATGCCTTTGCGCTTATTCCTCGTGTGGGTAGGTCTGTAGGATTGTCTTCACTTTGAACGAATGACTAGCTTGCTTGAAGTGTTTTTTCTCTAATTTCTGCGATTCTGTTGGCAACAAACGAAACTCTTTTGCTTGTTCCCTTGATCCAGTGAAGCACAATCATCGAGTCCGTCCAGCAGTGTATTTCCTGAAATCTTTCGTTGCAGTGACCTTTGATGTAGTCGCATAATCTTGATGCTACTACCGCTGCCATCAGTTCAAGTCGCGCCAATGTCAGCTCTTTAATTGGAGCTACGTGGTTTTTTGCTGTTACCAGCCTTGATTCTTTGCTTCTGTCGTGGTATATGCTATCAAGTATGCTGCCACTCTGTATGCTAATGGGCTTGCGTCGGCAAATACATGCAGCTTGCATGCTAGTACTGGTTTATTCTTGCTTGCGTAGCATCGTGGGATTTCTAGAACTCGAAAGTCCTCCGCTTCAGACATAAGGTTCTTTCATTTGTCGCATTCATCTTTAGGGAGCTGGTCGTCCCACGTGACGTTCGTTATCCACAGTCTCTGCAGTCCTATTTTCGCGCGTACTGTGAATGGCGACAACAAACCGAGCGGGTCAAATATCTTCGCTGTGGTTTGTAACACGGCCCTTTTTGCCAAGCACGTTGTATCTGTTAATAAATTCCACTTTTCCAATGGAAAGCAAATCACGTCCTTTGAGTGTTTCCATATCAAGCCCAGAAGCATTGTAAATCATCTAGATCGAATATCTATGTGAGAATCGTCCCTCT